GAAAGGTCATTGCTCAACACAATAAAGGCCATCTATGAAAAGCCTACAGCTAACATTATACTGAATGGGGAAAAGCTAAAAGCTTTTTCACTAAAAACTGGTACTAGGCAAAGGCTGCCCACTTTCTCCACTGCTTTTTAATATAGTGCTGAAAGTCTTAGCTAATGCAATCAGGAAAGAGCACAATATAAAAGGCATTAGAATAGGCAAAGAGTTAAAAATATCTTTATTTGCAGATGAAAAACGTCTCGAAGTAATAAGTGAATACAGTAAAGTGGCAGGATACGAAATCAACATTCAAAAATTGATAGCATTTCTATATATGAACAACAAGTTGAACGAAGTAGAGCTGAAGAAAGGAATCCCTTTCACCGTAACTACAAGATGTATAAGATATCTAGGGATAAACCTAACTAAGGAAGTCAAAGACCTTTATAAAGAAAAAAAAACTATGAAAATCTTAAAAAAGATATTGAAAGTGACATAAAAATGTAGAAGGACATTCCATGTTCCTGTATTGGAAGAATTAACATAATCAATATGGCAATTCTACCCAAGTTAATCTACATGTTTAATGCAATTCCAGTCAAAATACCAGAAATATTCTTCACAGATCTAGAAAAGACATAGAATTTGTCTGGAATTATAGAAGACCTTGTATTGCCATAGCAATCCTGCACAAGAAGAGTGGAGTGGGAGGTATATTACTCCCTGATCCCAAGATACACTATAAAGCTGTGATCATCAAAACAGCATACTGGCACAAAAAGAGACATGTGGACCAAGGGAATAGAATAGAGACCACAGAAATAACCCCCAAAACTTACAGCCAACTGATTTTTAACAAAGGTTATCAGTTAATTCATTGGGAAAAGGAAAACCTCTTTAGTAAATGGTCCTGGAAAAACTGGGTATCTACCCGCAGAAAGATAAAACTGAACCCCCATCTTTCACCATTAACAAAAGTCAACTCAAAATGGATCAAAGATCTGAACCTAAGACCTCAAACTATAAAACTACTAGTAGAAAATGTTGGGAGAAACTCTAGGAGACATTGGCATAGGCAAGGACTTCTTAAATAAGACTGTCAAAGCACAGGCGATATTCCCTAAAATAGACAAGTGGGACTATAACAGACTAAGAAGTTTCTGTACAGCAAAGGACACAGTACCAAGTGTGAATTGACAACCCTCAGAATGGGAGAATATTTTTGTAAAATATACATCAGACAAGGGACTGATAACCAGAATACACAGGCAACTCAAGTGCCTTACATGAAAAAAAATTATTAACCTAATTAAAAGATGGGAAAATGAGCTGAACAAAAATCTCTCTAAGGAAGTTATATGAACAGCCAAAAAGCATATGAGGAAATGCTCAACATCCCTCATCGTAAGGGAGATGCAGATAAAAACCACAATAAGATACCACCTAACCCCTGTCAGAAAGGCAAAGATTCAAAATATAAAACGTGGTATGTATTGGCAGGAATGTGGTGAAAAGGGAACTCTCCTACATTGTTGGTGGGAATGTAAACTGGTTCAGCCACTGTGGAGAACAATATGGAGGTTCCTCAAAGATCTACAAATAGAACTACCATATGACTCAGCAATCCCACTTTGGGTATCTACCCAAAAGACAGGAGAATAGATATAAAAAAAAAAAAAGAAAAAGAAAACAAAACAAACAAACAAACAAACAAGACCCTGGCATTTGATAGAAAGTGGTCGTATATGGATGATCTATTGCTGAGTGAAGCAAGCCAGGATATGAAAGAAAGATACTGTATGTATCCACTTAATATATACCAACAAACCGCACTCTATGGTAGAGAGCGAAATATTGAAGGACATAAAAGCAGTGAAAATAGTTAGTGATGATAAGACAGTATGGAATGGGGCGGGAGAAAAGAAGGGAGAAGGATAGCAAGAGAACAAATAGAGAGGCATGACATTTGTGGGATATGGTTTATTACCTGTTCATGATGATATGTATACATTCTCAACTGGACTGGTCTGAGAAATATTTCATGTTGGGTAAAGTCTTTTTACAAGCAAAATGATAAATAGTGATTGAATGCTTAAAACAATAATTGGAATAATAACAACAACAATAAAAAATAATGAAAAGCTATTTGATGATGATGATGGGGATTTTAATGTTTTTGTATTGACTGATGTGCATGGTATTCCTTCTGGTAAAAGAAATGTAATACACTGTAAAGTTATATGTGATTCAATGTAATATAAAGATTATGATAATAATAAATTTTAAAAAAGAAATTAAAGAAGCCAAGGAAAATGATGGCTGAGCTCTAGAGAGGACAAAATTGGGATGATAATGAAACATTCAAGGAGACATATTTGGTTAATAGGCGAAAAAGTAAAGTTGACCCCAAGATTTGGTTTGGAGAGAGTGATCTGAACATCACCTATATATGGGCATTTCAGGTGAACAGGTAAGATCCTAGAAGTTACTATGGTGAGAGAAATATTTAGAACAGTCTGAGGACTGAACCATAAAGGTACCATATTCCAGGTAGAAGAAACAGCATGTGGCCAGGAGCTCACATACCTGCCCAAGCAGTGAAGTATTCCAAAACTCAGGTGAGCAGTTTGGGCATTACGGAAAGTAAAAAAAAAAAAAAAAAAAAAAAAAAAAAAGAAGTCAGAGAGAGATTGCTTTTAGAGATAAGCCTGTGAGTGACGGGACAGATTTATACAGATACTGTTCTGATGGGATCTGATTTCCCTGATGCAGCTATATGAAGCTCTGAAAGTTGAAGAAAAGAAAGAACCACCTCTGGTTGCAGTGGGGCAGACAGGCAATTCCCCTAAGCAGATGGGAGATGGTGTGTGTGCATCTGGAGCACAAAATAAAGAAGTAAGACTGACACACATGAAAAAAATAAACTATAGTGTATATGAAAGCGGAAAAGGTATGTAATGGAGACACTTAAGTTTCCTCAGGTCCACTGAGTACAAAGGAGGAGGTGAAGTATGATCAATTAGGGCTGGGGGAGCTGGAAGAGACAGCATGTGGGAGGTGGCGCTTGAGTTGGGTTTCACTGTGAGTAAAATTGTTGTCAGGCCAAGAGAATTCAAAAAGAATTGCAGATGAGGAAATGACATGAAGTTTTGGAAGATTCTGTGAGCATGACATGAAAAGTACACACATAAGAAATACCCAAAAGGGTGGAGGATTTCTGTTAGATAAGGCAGTGATAGTGCACATGAAGTACAAAGTATATACACACATTAAGGGACAAAGCAGGAAGCCACAGGTGCCACATTCAGTTATCTTTCACCTTAAAAGACTGAAAGTGTCTTAGAAAAAAACAGATCATGAGAGGAATAGAGTTTTAGCAAGATTCAGTGGGGAGAAAGATTGAAGGGGAAAAGATAAAAGCAGGAGACAAATGAAGAAACTAAATCAAATAGTTTGTGTGGAAAGTCACCAGAAGAGTCTGGACTAGGCTAGCAGTAAAAGGCTTCAAAACAGGACACCAGGGGTCAGACAGTGGATCAGCAGTAAAATAAAACATTCTGTGAAGCTGATCCACATGGGAAAATTCTGGCTTTGCAATTGGAGACCTTCGTAAGTACACCAGGCACACATGTGCCCGTGATCAGAGATAGACAGGTGCTGAGGATGAATCATGACATCAAGAACCTGTTGGAGGTGGTGTCTCTCTGGCTCTTTTTGTCTCTCTTGCTCATTGAAATAATAAATGAATGAACTTAAAAATAAGTAAGATGACACCAATTGAGAGCTATGACAGAAGATAATTGAGAGGAAATGATGAGAAGGAGGATCAAAGGTGGTTTTAAGACTTAGGAAATCTAAGTCTTAAAATTCTAGAATTTTTTGTAAAGAATTATTTATTTATTATTATTATTATTCACATGAGTTTTGCCAAAGAAAAACAGAAAGAGTAAGAGAGGGAGAGTTAGAAAGCAAGCTGCCAGGTCCAGGACCCGAACCACGGTCGGCCATGTGAGAAATCCAACACCTTAACCCCTTAACACCTGCTGGTCCCTAGACACTAGAATTTAATATGATAGTGGGGAACTCATATAAAGCTGTCAAGCAAACTGTGAGAAATAGGACACCTAATGTTAAGAAAAAGGGTCAGAGACATACCAATGAGAGAGTAATGGATGTCCTTATCCACAGAGATAGTCCATCAAGTCAAAAGCAGGGGGAAGACTGCACTCTAGAGAAAACTAATAGTGAAGGAAAAGACAGAGGATAAAATAGCATAAAAAGACACCAGGTTGCCAAAGGAAAAAATGTCAGGATCGTGAACTATCACAGAAACCAAAGGAGGAGAACTTTAAGGAGGTCATAAATGATAGTGCGAACTGCAGTAAAGAAATGAAGAAAAGAAGATAGTACCAAAGGATTGGGCCAGGCAAGCCAACAGAGTAAGAAGAGGAGAAAAGTCCACATGAGACTAATGTCCTAGAGGAGCCAGGTGGAGCAGAATAAAGACAGCATGCACCAACCACTCATTAAAGAAAGCTGGAAGATGAAAGACTGGGGCAGCCAGCATGTGGGGGACAATGGGGAACAACATAAATTTAATTCAGAATAGGGGAATGTGGCCACTTGGTGGCATGGTGCTTAAGGCAGCTGGATGCCACATTGTCTGACTATGTGGTTTCGTTCTTAGACCCAGCAGTTTGAAAGATACATGTGCGCTCCTGCCCAACATCCAAAAAGAAGGGAGAAATGATGGAAAAGGGACATGGAATGACCATCCACCACCATCCAGTGCTTTTCTTCTCCTCTTCCTCTCTTGGGTGAGCACAGGTGCTCTCTGTCAAAATTCTAGAAAAATAATGGGGAAAGGCTCTTGAGTTCGATCCCAAAGGAAGAAATGGAAGAAATTAGGTGGTAAATACGGCTTGCTGAAGAAGAAACGAAAGTAAATTAAACATTTGCACATTTGTGTATAGGAGTACCCAGAATGGATCACTAACCAGTATGTATATTACCTGGGCTTTCTGTAATGGTGCCATCCGGCAGCAGAGCACTGCAGTGCACTTCATACAAATCTGTAGGAAAATGTTTTTGTAATTGTTTGAACTAGAATCTTGACTAGAATTTAGTATGAGTGACAATGTGGAGCCATCAATGATTAATCCATATTCCTGGTGTTCTGTCCATGCTCTGAAAAAGAAAAACAATGCTAGGTTTGAATCTACTATATAATTTTATTTACGATCCTGAGTTTTTAACCACAAAGGGGAAGGACTCAGATTAGACAAGTCATCAACCTGGTTCCTTGAGCTGTTCATTCTAAAGAAGCAACTGCCACTAATAATAATATACCAGTGACTTTCAATCACTTCTTTGAAACTGAAGCTGCCCACAGAGATAGCAGTTAGTTCTAAATGGTATACAATAAAGGGGGTTGGACAGTCTGTCTCTTTATAAAAAAAATTTCAAGGTAAATTTTGGGAATGCAGATCAATCTGTCAAACTCTGACACAAAGACAAATCATCAGTTAATCTGAAACTCCCTAACAACATAGGGAAAGGACAAAATGACTTTGGGGTAAACAAACCAGAAGAAACCTTTCTCTACTATCTTTGCCTGAGTCCTATTCATAGATCAAGGCTCCTCAAATATGACTGAGGATCTAAAAGACGTGGTGCTCATTAATACCATACAATATTAACACATATTTCTTAAGTAAGTACCATTTAGTACTAGCTTAGTGATGTCCAACTCTAGCCTTATTAGAATCACCTGGATGACTTTGAAAAATTGTCCTTGCCCAGGGTCCATTCAGGGTCCAATTTAAATCAGAGTACCTCAGGCAAGGCTTGGTTACATAGAAATATTTTTCTGAAAAGAATGTATTGTCATAGGACATATATGTTCATTGGAGAGAGAGACAGAAAGAGGAAAATGAGAAATCACCCCTCAGGAGGAATGGTCACATCCCAATCCCTTCTCTTCTATTCTCTTGTTGGGATTTTGGGCACATGTACCTGATGTGATTTTCAAACCACCAGGTCTGGGACTTGAACCACAGTCAGCCATGTGGGAGTCCAGTGCCTTAACCACCACACCAAATGCTAGCCCCACATATAGTATGCACATACCTTATAGCAAAGTAAAAAGAGAGAGAGAGAGAGAGAGAAGAAAAGCTTCCTAGGTGGTTCTCATGTGTAGACAGGACTAAGTTATTAGGTACTAGGAAAGACAGATGTAGTAGGTACCTAATATATATTTTTTAGAGGTTTTTGCCTTAGGAAGCATGCACTTGCTGGGGAGAGAGAGTGAGAGATGAAGATGGAGACAGAGATAGTAAGAGGAAAAATGAAAAATTCCCCTGCAAGCGGGATGGCCATGCCACAATCCTTTCTCTATTCTCCTCCTGGGATCTTGGGCATGCACACATGCACACACACACACACACACGTGCCTGGCATGAGTTTCAAGCCACTGAGTTTCAAGCCACTGAGTCCAGGACTCAAGCCACGGTTGGCCATATGGGAGTTTAGTGGCATAACTGCTATGCCATCTACTGGCCCCTGTACCCAGCATTTAAGAAAAATAAAAATCCAGTGGTAATTTTTTTTTTAAATTATACACACACACACACATACACACACATTTTTTATTATTTCAATTTCTTTTATACATTCTGTCATGTTACTTAGCTTGCAAAATGAGTATTTCAACATGTGTACATTTCTCACCAGTCAGTTGACAATACTATAAAGTTATCTTCAACAGATAATAACCCATTTCTTTGTCCCATAAATACTTTGCCTCTCTATTTTTCTCCTTAATGTCCTTCCTCAGACTGTTAATTTTTGTTCTTGGAATCTTGGGTACTATTTGAGAACCATGGCAATGGAAGCATTAGAAACAGTAGAATCTCAGTAACTGATCTGGTTGTCTAATTTAATAATACTCAAAGTTTTATGTGCAAAGGAATCACCTGGAGGGCTTGTCAAATTGTGGATTCTGAGTTCAGTAGGTCAGGGTGGAGCCTGAGATTTTGCATTTCTAACAAGCTGCGTGGTGACAATGGAGCTGCAGTTCTACTGACCAAATTTTGAGTTACAAGGGCCAAATAAACTTCATTATTCCTTTACTCTGCTATTTTTTCACTGTACACTAATACCATAATATTTTGTAGTTATCCATATTTTGCCACATAATTTTATGAGCATGTTTTATTCACTAATTAAAGAGACATCTATTGGGAGTTCTTCTTTGTTCTCCTACTAATAGAATGCACTCACTGGGCAGAAAACAGAGGCTCAATAATCAATGAAATAATATTTGTAGACACCAATTACACCAATTACATGTTGGACATACAGAGGATCACAAAGAATTATTGATTAATCTTTGCTTGGGGAACAGAAAATTTCCTTGGGAATAGAAAATCTCCTTGGGGAACAGAAAATACTTCTAGTATGTAGAATCATACATGAAAGAACACAATCAACCAAACAACATTAATAAATGGTTGATGGCCAGTTACTGTAATAATAAATCCATACAGGAAAGAACAATGGGAAATTTATTTGTCATGTTATTTAAAGTGGGACTTAAAAGACAGGTAAGTACATAGTGGTGCCCTGGGAATGCAAGCTGAAAAAGTCACTTAAGGGCCATCAGTCGAGTGGTGGTTAAGGCAGCAGCTAGATCCCACATGGCTGACTACACGGTTTGCATCTCAGACCCAGCAGCTCAAAAAATGCACCAAGTGCATGTGTATGAGTGCCCAAAATCCTGCGAGGAGAATGCATTGTGGAATGGCTACCCCCAGGGGATGCTTTCTTTCTCTCTCTCTTTCTCTCTCCATGGAGTGCACATGCCCTATAGCAAACTTAAAAAAAGAAAAGAAAAGGTCATTTGATGCCTTTGTTGAGTAATGAAGAATATGTAGGTAATAAAAACCCACTAAAGGGTTTCACAGTGAGGCTATGATATGGACTGTACTTTACTTAAAGATATCTCATCTGCCAAAGGCCTTAAGGATCCAAGGCATGAAATGATAGGTCTCTGATGTGAAACAGTAGTGTGAGAATGGGAGCAGGGATAAAACCTGGGGGCTGATTTGAAGTAGGAGCAAAGTTGTACAAGCTGTACAAGTAATTCTGGGTCT